CATTTAACACTGTTGACCCTTCTTTCCTCTGAGCTTTTGTGATATGTTGTTCTCTCTTGATTTTCCTCCTATATGTATGGCCCTTCTTTCTGCATCTCCTTCTGGTGATTCATCATCAATATTACACCCTCTAACTATGGTTGTACTCCAAGGCATTATCTTGGGAAGGTTTATCTTCTCTGTCCATACTCAGTGATGTTTTTAGCTCATATAAGTTTAATTATCATCTCTATGTTAATGATGCAGTTTTATGTGATCAAAGTTTTGAGACACCTTCTATATCCAGCCCTAGATTATCTCCTCAGGGCAGCCCCTCACGACCAACTTCTATTGGTCTTTTAAAAGTGGATACTCCACAGGCATCTCAAACACGATGTCTAAAATCAAACTTTCCTCTCAATCCCATTTCTTTTCCATACTTCTCTATTCTTGTGGAAAGTACCACCATCTTTCTAGTCATCCTCAGCTCCTCACTTTTGCTCACCTCTCATAGCCAAGTCATTTGCTAAATCTTGTCATATTTCCCTCTATAACATCTCTTCCACTTGTCCCCTTCTCTCCTCTCATGGTCACCACCCAACTTCAGGCCCATATCACTTCTCCCCTGGACCATTGCGATAGCATCCTAATTGGCTCCCTGCCTCAGTTTTTGTCCCCTCTCCACCTTCCACACAGTTGACAAAGTGATTTTCTAAAGTGCAAGCAAATCTGATCATGTTATTACCCTATTTAGTAAACTCCAGTGGGTCTCTATTACCTCTAAGATCAAATATAAACTCTGCTGTTTGTCATGTTTTTACAACGCAGTCTTATTATCTTTCTAGTCTTATGACACATTATCTCCCTTCATGCACACCATAGTCTGCATAAACTGGCCTTACTCTTTCTCTTACATGCATTCTATCTCTGACCTTTTGTACTGGCTCCCCCCAGGACTAGAATGCAGTCTTTCCTCACTCCTAGAATCTCTAGCTTCCTTCAAGGGAAAACTCAGACATCACCTTTCATGTGAAGCTTTTCCAATTCCCCCCTGCCCCAAGGTACCACTGTGTTCTCCCCCAAATTATCTTGTATCCAGCTTATAGACACATACATAGAAAATGCAGCTTCCTTTACAAATAAATACCTGTACCTTTGTGTATGTAAATGGAATTTCATGTTAAATCCCTTCACTAGATTGTAGCTTCCCTGTAGGCTGGGACTATTTAATTTTTGCCTTAGTTCCCCCAGTAGGGGGAACTATAACAATGCCTGGCACATGGTAGCTACTTAATAAAAACTCTTGATTGACTGAGTGGTGGAAGGAGTACCTATGTTGACCAAATCACAAGAGTCATCATGATTCAAGGAAAAAACCTATATATTATAATTTAAGTTACTGTCTTCAAACCCCTTAGTAAATCTTCAAAAGAGCATTACAAAAGGCAACATGAAATAACTTGAATTTCCCTCTTCTCTGCCCAAGTCTACTGGAGGTAATGAGCAATCTGAGATGACCTCAAAAGGTAGCCAAATACAAGAAAAGTAAGAAGCCTATGTAACTTGAAAACTAGGGCATGGTGTACTGTCTCCCTCTCTTTCCATTAAAGCTTTCCTTATTCATTCTTGGTGGGACTAGCCACATTGAGGAAGCTACAGAGCCATTTAAGGGTGGCCTAGTTATCTGTTTCATAGCAGATCAAAAGAGTCAACAGCTGGCAGTCAATCTTCCAGTGTTATTTCTGATAACTTAGACAGCAGACATATGTACTATCCTCAGGCTCACATTTGCAGCCTTCCAATGTGGAAAGAATCTACTAGTTCTTTGAGCACAGAACCTTGAGATGTCCAGGTCACCTCTATTCCATAATGAATGAAGCTTTTTGTGACTACCCTATCGATTCTACAAATTGTCCTTTTCACAGATGACATTTACCTGAGGGTGACAAAAACTCCAAATAATTGTGGAAATCCATAGCAAAGCAAAAGAGATTGGTCTAACCTTCCACACTGGAAAAACAAAGCAGATAAAAACTATATTGCTCAGATGACAACATGCAGTGGAATAGGCAGCTTGTCTGTTAGTGCATATGCAGATGCGGAAAGGCTCTGAAGATGAACTAGGATTAAGGAAGAAGGAAGGAAGCAGGCTACATCTTTGGGAAATTTCCACTATTCTTCAAGTGATGCTATATGAATACTGTGATCTCAGAAGAATGATGAGTAACCTAAGGACGCAAGGTAGGCATATCTAGGTCACAGCACATTTCTCAAGACACAGTGTAAAAGACACAAGGAAGGATGTGTTTAACTGGAATAGGAGACTGACTGATCATACATCAAGAAACAGCAACAAGGGAGGAACAGTTTATTATACTTAGATCCTAGAGATGGTAATAGAACCAAAACTCCTTGAGTATGTCAGGCAGGACCTCTGTGGAGGATTTATGAAAGACAGACAAGAATCATTGGGATGCAAAAGTCTGGCAGTTTTGAGATGCATGAGGCTCACATAGAGCATAGCAACATAAATTTAGACCTGGAAGGAACCTCCTCATTTAAGTGATTTACATAGAGTGACACAGCTAACATCTAAGGCAAGATCTGAACTCTTTATCTTCCTGAATCCAAGCCCAGTGCTTTATTCACCACTAGACCACCATTCTTAGTTTGTGGTCATACAAACAGCCAGATTTGGCCTTTGGACAGTAGTTCACCAAATCCTACATTTATACAATAATTTGATGGGCCCATGAGTTCATCTGTAAGGTAACTAGCTGGTAAACTGATGGGGAGAGTACTAGACTTGGAGTCAGGGAAATTTGAGTTCAGATCCTGCCTTTAAAGAAATGTAAAAACCCATTATTAGTGAGTGGGCTATACAACAAAATCAGGCGGCAGATTGGATTTGGCTCTTAGGTCTTATTGTACTGACCCCTGGATTATATCTCTCAGAGGCAAACCCTTCTGTTTTTGTTTTTTTTTTTTAGGCAATTGGGGTTAAGTGACTTGTCCAGGGTCACACAGCTAGTAAGTGACAAGTGTTTGGTCTGAGGCCGGATTTGAACTCAGGTTCTCCTGACTTCAGGGCCGGCGCTCTATCTACTGCGCCACCTAGCTGCCCCGAGGCAAACCTTTCTGGAAATGATCAGAAAACAAGTGGGAGAAATCACAATGTAAGAGAAGGTTGGAAGCAGAAGAGGTGAAGATTAGTGGCAAAAAAAAATCTTTACGTAAATTGTATTGGATTGTAGAGACTCCCTACAATCTCTCAGTGTAGGTACATAATTTGTGCATCAGCATATCAATTTACAGTAACTGGCTGAAATAATCTTCATAGAATTTGTTTTAAATGGATTCTTTTTCTCCCAGTCTTCCCTTCTCACTGAGTTCCCTGAAATGAGTATTTAGGTCTTGGCCACATCTACTGCAGATGGTGTACCACACAGAGAATAATGTCAGAGGTCACTTGGACTTCATACCCAGTGTGTTGGTTAACAATACTGTTTTCTAAACAGTTACCTACTTAGAATTGACCACTTTAAGCCTGCACTGAAGACCAGGTCAATTCTAGTTCATACCCATATTTTAATGGAGAAAAATCAGATTTTAGAATCAGATTATTAACTGTGAGAAACAGTATTTTTCAGAGAGACGAGTAGGCAACCTGTCTTGTTATTATCATATAAAGAGAACTTCCATTTAGAAATGTACACTTTCTGAATATAATTGTTAGGGGAAATTTAGAGAGTTGCATATTCTCTTAGAGGTTAAGTGACTTGGCTAGCCACAAAACTAGTAGGTGTCAGAGGCAGGACAATGAACTCCCAGGCCAGCTCTCTATCTGTTATGGCACAGCACAGATGAGATGCCAGCCTGCATTAGTTAGCAGAGGGGATTTCCCATATTGATCGAAGCACAGATCTGGATTTTTTTTAAAAAAATGTATCTATAATTAGGAAAAGGCATGTGCAGTATGAAACATCATTTAAGGAATAAAAATATTTATTCCAATACTCATCATCATAAAAAGCATTCTTGGAGGACAAGTAAGCTGGGGAACTTTGAAAGAAGCAAAATTCAAGGAATGAAGAATACTGTAGTACAAAAAGTATGGCCAAAAATACTGTATTTTTAACCAGCAAGATCATTTGGGGTACTATTATACAACATTAGTTTTTTTTTCCAAAACTATTTCCCATCCCCGAACAATAGACAATACATGCATTTGAATGACATTTTAAGAACAGCAAGTATGATTCTCTTAAATACTGCAAGTTAAAAATGTTTCTGACAAAACTCCCTAAATATACATGTCTCTAGTAAGGGCTTCCACCACAATGGCAGGTGAGGAGGCCTGCAATAGGTTGTTTTAGACCATCCTTTGAGGGGGGAAAACCCAGCAAGAACATTTCTTACAGTTCAATTCATCTGGATAACTTTTACATAATACCTCTTACCCTCTCTTTCTCTTTCCCCCTACTCAGTCCGTAACATTTTTATTGAGAACACCTGTCTCTCTTTACTTCCCATTTCTCTGCACCCACTCCAGCAATCTTTCTTCTTTCATCCTCCCCACCCTAGCAAAGGGTTATATGAAAGTTATGGAATTCCCTTTATCCAGGAAAGACACCGATTATCCAAATGGATGTTTGAATTACTGATACGTGCCATTTCCTTTATATATATATTTTTTTGTCTATAACTGAATCATTTGGAGGAGCGAATATATTATGTGGGGTGAGGACAAATCTACTCCTTTGAACATACAATCCTGAGAAACTAGTAAGACAAGTGTTTTTACTGAACTAACAGTAGTAGTTGGGGAGGACCAGCAGAGCAGTTGGTTCTCCTGTGAAAAAACAAAAGAAGGAAGTTTAGACAATATGCCACAGAGGGATCATAGGTACTAAACGGCAAATGTCTGAATGTCCAAAGGATTGTTTGCTAACCACATAGATCTAAACTTCCTTTTCTTTTCTGAGTTTGATGGTACCAAAATGAAATTTCAAAGACAAAGATCACCAGGACAGAGCTATTTATCGCTACATATGCAGACAATATAGACAGACAGACATTATTATAACTTTTTTTTTTAAAGAAATTGTATGTGATTCGAACCAAAGACAGATCTTTGGAAAGCCAATTGAACATATGCTGTATATACCTTATTAGTTTTATTCATTATGGTGGTTGTTAATTATCAGTAAAGTGGTTGGTAATCCTTAGTTTCAAGAACAGCAGCAATATACATTACAGTATTTGGGTAGACTTTATTTTGTATGTGTGTTAACATTATGCTAGGGTTTTTAAAAAATTTTTTTGTAATTTTTTATTCTTTTTGTGAGGAATTGAAAACAGAAAGTAATTAGGATAAAGTAACTTGAAGGTCATTTGCAATCAGTAGCTGGGAGCAGTATCATAGAATTCAGCCCTTTCTCCCCATTTAAAGTTTTTGCAAGTCATGCAGTCAGTTCTGACTGAGGTCCAGCATAAAAATCCCTGCCCCACTTCCAAACTTAAAACAACTGAAATTTACAATCATGTGGCAGTAAGATTTTTTTTAAAGTTACAGTTCATACACCTTGACAATCAAGATCGTCTGAGTTATAAAAAGTAAATTGCCCGTTAGCTGCATTATCTTCTCAATATGTCAGGACGGTGCCAGCCAATTTGTCCAGTAAAGGCATGAAAAAGTTAAGGTTTTTCTTAAAACATGTATGTATGCAATACAGATTCCTTGTGCTAGTGAATATCTAGAATATACAGGTTCCCAAGAAGGATTTTAAAAAATATTTTCACTCTATTCATGACATTCAACAAGAGTTCTTTGTTACGGTAAAGTAAAAAGTCAACAGTTGTGGGGCTTCTTTTTTGTTTGTTTGCATGTGCGTGTGCATGTGTGTGCGTGTGTGTGTGTGTGTGTGTGTGTATGTTTCCCCTCAGTTTCTAGATTGAGGCACAAACTTCTGGACATAAGCTCTGTAAGGCATAGTAGAAACCACCAATTTGCAAATAACGAGTAATTCGCTGTGGGTGGGAACTGCTGTGTCACTCAAGAGGGGAAAAATGCTTTGTAAACTGGTACACTGTGATGTTGTGTTGAGAGAGTCATGAAATGGTGGCTTGTCTTGGTATGTGGAAAAAAAAACAGTATTTTTTTTTCTAAAACATTCCCTGGTCACCTCAACATTTGCCACAGGCCCCATTTACCTATAGCATCAACAGAAATATTCCAGTGGCACACTCTTAGACTCTTGAAATCACAATAGAACTACTGAGCTTAAGTAAACTTTTTTTTTTATACAAAACTGAAAAGAATCCCCTCCCTCCCCCCAAGCCCCTTCAAAAATAAAACAAAAGAAAGGAAGATCCTTTCAACTCCATTAACTAGTGTGGATACAGTTCGGTTTATATTAATCACTGAAACCAGGGTGATCAATTTATTCCCTTGTGAAGAGAAGGGATATTGTCATGCACCCTATGATTAACAGCGAAGACACAGCCTCAGTTGTGCATAGCAAGTTCCATCCTAACTTAATAATGACCAATGCAACAAGCTTTGCTCATGTTTGTAGACCTTTGGGATTGTGTATCACTGTCTACATCTAGGAGAGCTTTATTTATTAAATAGAGTATCTCAAGTCCTTACCACTAACACTTGTGATGAGGTTGGATTTTTCCCACTGAAAGTATCCACGAGCCTCCAGAGAGTTAGTGTGTGCGATAAAATTGCACCAAATTCATCACCACATTTTCAAGGAAGCAGTGGTGTATGGTCATTCAAAAATTTCCTTAATAGATTACAAGGGTTTCTAAAAACCACCTTTCTAATAAAGGTCATTGGGAAGTGACACTAAGCTAAGCTGTGCATGGGCCAAATAAGAATCTGATTTGTAAAAAAGCTAATCTTTCAATCTGGATTCAATGGGCAAAAATCCTACCGAGTTGGTGTTCGTGTCTGTTATAGCTCCAATAGAACTTAGGCATTTTGCTGTGAAATGGCCTTTGGGTTTGAAAATAGGTAATACCTCTGCTCATGAATGTGCAAATGATCTTGGACAGCACAATGCTAGTACCGCTCTGAATGACAGAAAGTTTTTTTTTGTTTGTTTCTTTGTTTTCTATATGGAAAAAAAAATCCCTAGTCAGAAATAAACTGACAACTTTACATTCTCCTCTCTTAAAAAAGTAAATAAAATAACATTATTCAAAATGTGAATTAGCTATAAGACAGACAATACAATTATATAGATACATATCAATATAGCACATTCAATCTGCCAAAAAAATTAATGATTACAAAGCCAGTATGGATGCTGCCATATATATAGAGATGTATGTATGTACAATGATTATAGCATTCATAATTGCACTATACCTACAAACAGTTTTTGTTTTAAATTACAGATGTTTTTTGAGGGAGCAAAAAATAAGTAACCTTTGTCTCTTGGGGTTGGGAGAGTTAAGAATGAAAACATTCCATTAAGATCTATTAACTTTGGTACTCAACTAATACATCATTAATTTTTCCCCTCTCCTCTCTGATGCCCCAAACAGTGATTTCCAGGTATGTGTATCCTAGATCCTAATGGTATCCCAGCAAATCAGACCAGCATCACGGCTGGCTTTTGACTTTCTGGAAACTTTACTAGACTCATGATTTATCATTTTAAATCACATTTCAAGTCAAGCTGCTTCATAGAGGCTTATTGATATATGTGATTTCTTTTTCCTTTTGTTTTTAAAAAAAAATTGCACATTTGGAGTTCCAACGTTCCTTCTTAACAGGTTCAATTACATAAATAATTCTTCTATAGAACACTGAGAGGCTACTTTAGAGTTAAACCCATTCATCTTCCGTAAATCCTTGGAACTAGTCACCACTTAAATAAAGATTTCTGAATTGGATAAGTAGTCAGTGACTTCCAATCTTACAACTAAAAGGTGCCATTATAATACTATAAACATATGTTCTCAGCTGCCTGACTCTACCTTACAGGGAGTAACTGAGCAGAGTAAGACTGTATTCAAGTAAGGAGAACATAGGCAGAGTTCATGGTGCACCTCACAGCAAGCTCAAACAGCGCTGTTCTAGGTGTCAAAAATGGAAAACTTCCATAAGGGCAAAGAAAATGGTGGACCATGAGAGCTGAATCTACAGTTATTTGATGTGTGGCGGTTGTCTTAGCTGGTTCTTTTTCAACCAGTTCATTTTAGCTTTTCAATCTTGGTCACATTTTATATTTTATGATATCAGAATTTCTATTTTTATTTTATTTTTTTTTATAAAAAAGCCAGCTTTGGCAACACAATTTTTATTTCCCAAAAGAAAGTATCTTAAAAGTGTGAAACAAACACACTCAAAACCAAAAAAAAAAAAAAAAAAAAGGAAGAAAGATTGAAATCAGAAGGGAAAAGAAAAAGAAAAACAACCACCCTAACTAACAAGGTTCCAGGCTACAATCACTGGGGAATGTAGTGTCTGTTGGCATATTTGTTTGGCATCTGCAATTTTTTAAAAAGTCAAAAAGAAAAATGGCACACAGCAAGTCAACAGGAGGGTCACTTTTTTTTTTTGTCTTTGCAATTACATTACTGTCTTCTGTGCATTTCTCTGAATCACCAGGGTATGGCTGAAGGTAAAATCCCAAAGAAATGACACTTTACCATTTGAAGATTATTCAGGCCCAAAGTGAGAAAAGACAGTATCAAAAACCATATGGATTTTATACCCAGGTCAATAGTTTAAAAACCACAGTAGTAATACTTCTGATCCTTCAGAAAAAAGTACATACTGTTAAATTAGGTTCATGAATGATGGCTTAAGTCGAATGACATTTTTTCTGTCTGTATCACTCAAGAAAAAAAATACTGAGGAATACAACTGGGGAAAGAAGGCCATTGTAACCTCAGAAAAATCAAGAGAGAGAGAGAAACAGGCAAGGAAAGGGAGGGAATAAACTCTTTATACTCATTATCAAAAAAATAAAATAAAATAAAAAAAGAAAAAACCCAAACCCCTATCCTTTGTGAGTGCATTATTGAGAATTTAAAATACATTGCGTCACAAGGTTTTGCCTAAAAAAAAGAGAGAGGAAATGTGCTGGAAATGTACTTCAGCGTCTTTTGTTTTTCCTCCTCATAGTTTAAATAAAATCATAATATTTACTACAAACTCTGCGGACACTTGCACAGAGTCCAGGACAGCAATAAATTAGTATTATGCAAATTGTTTTTCACAGATAATACAGTCCCTCTTTGTATTCATCAATTGGCCTCAAGGTTTAGAAAGGAAAGGGAAAGAGGCATGTCTAGACACGTCTATGAGGCACATCTAGACCAGGTTGTACTCCTTCAGATTTAACTGTAGGATGGTGTCCTTGACGGCAGCAAAGACAAAACGGATGTTTTCGGTGTCTGTGGCGCATGTGAAGTGGGAGTAGATAATTTTGTCACTGTCTGGGTTCAGATCTACGAACATCTTCAAGATGAATTCTCGTGCTGCTTGCGCATCTCGCTGGGGTCCTGTGAGCCAAAGGACAAAGGGAGAGGTTAGTTTTTACCTGAGTAATATTTCTTATTACTTCCCTTCAAGATTTCTGAAAGATGTAGTACTATCTGAATAGAGCCACAACTAGAAAATTTTTCAACTGGAGTGAAAAATGTAGAGGAGTGAAGGGAGGGGGAGATGAAGGTAGGGGCAGTGGCAAGTTGTAAAGTTTGTCTGTGGGTATAGGTGAAGATCCCAGAGACAGAGTAGTCTGGCCCTTAGCCTCATGGGCTTTGGAATGGCAGAAGTGAGAGAGGGGCTCCATGGCAACAGGATTCCTGGAGACTGTGGCCCAGGGTTGTACCTTACAGTGTCGTGATAAGGCAAAACAGCCAGAAATGAGGTGGAAGGATGATGAGCCACAGGGACAAAGTGCATCCGCCCAGACAAGATACACACTCTCCTCCCTAGGGGAAGAAGCTGTCTCCCTGCCATGGGAGCACCCGGGATCAAAATTTCATTTGCCCCACACTTGTTATGAATCTATATCTGATGTCCATGCCTATGCCTTTGTCTGCAATTTATTCAGTTATTCAAAAGCATTTATCAAGACCTGCAAACAATAATGAATGAGTTGAGAAATTCATGAAAAGGTTTATATGAACTGATGCAGAGCAAAATAAGCAAGAAAACTATGCTCAATGACTAAGACTATATGAATGGAAATAACAACAATAGCAAAGCAAGTGAACCTAAATGTGGTGATTAAGCTTGGCCTCATGGAGGGATTATAAGAAGGTTACCTTCCTTCCTTCTTTGTAGATAATATCAGATTCTTTGGATCTATTGGTTGAGTTTTGAGAAATTTTTCCCTCTTTTTTTTGTTAAAAGAGTAGGAGAGGAGGGAGAGTAATACACTGGGAAATTCAAGTTATATTAAAAAAAATCAATAAAATTTCATTTAAAAAAGACTGATACACACATCCACCATTAGCTATAAAATAGAAAAAGTCATGTTCACCATACTTAAGAAACTTTCAATCCAGACAAACATTACTTTAAAAAAAAAAGGGGAATACAAGCACATTATAGACAAACTATAAGAAAGAGAGAGAGAGAAATTTAAGTGATTTGCTCTGAATTACACATGGAGTTTCATAGATTCACTCTCTATTAATTTCTTTCCAGGAGACAGGCCTAGCTACACACTTCAAGTAAACTTAATCATGGAGCACTTCTTTGAAGAGGTGAAACGTCTTGGAATAATGACATGGACTAGAGCTGTTGATTTGGGAGAGTCTTTTAGGTTAGGGAACGTCTATGAACAAAGCCACAGAGGTGAGAACGAACAAGATATACTCCTAAGCTATTTAGCAGAGTGACTTGGCAGAGAGGTGAAGAATAAAAGCAAAAAGGAGAGGTGTGGGAAAAGTAAAATTAATAAACATTTATTAAATGCCTACTATGTAACAGGCACATGTTCTATGTGCTAATCACAAAGAAAGGCAAAGACAGTCCCTTCCCTGAAGGAGCTATGATCTAATGGGGGAGATAACATGCAAACAACTATGTATAAACAAGATCTATATACAGGATAAATTGGAGATAATCACAGACAGAAGGTACCACTAGCATTGAGGGATCTTAAGAAGTCAATAGATAAGAAGTCACAAATACAAGGCTGAAGAATTTCTACATGATCTGAGTTGTCATAGCAAAGCATTATGGGGGTTCCACTAAAATCTTTCCTGACCCAACACCATTTTGAACATACCACCAAATGGATACCAATATCTTTAAAATCAGGCCTGTTATATATTAGCACAACTAACAATATTCCTCTGCAAAACCACTTTGTAAATTAATAATGTCTATAAGAACATTGTGTTTAAAAAAATTCACTATTTGACAGCTAGTACTTTAAAGCAACATATACTCATAAGGACAGGATTTTAATTTTTTTTTATCACATTCAATACTAGGACATGAAGACAGTGGAGGTTTTAAAGTTTACTCTTTGTTCAGTTTCTTAAAACTTTTAGATCAGGAATTTTTAACCTGGAATTCATGTCTGTCTGTCTTCATTTTGATAATCATTTCGATATAACTGGTTTCCTTTGTAATCCCATATTTTTTAATCTATTTAAAAATATTATTCTGTAAAAGAGTCCAAAGGCTTCACCAACTAGCAAAGGGGATTTATCACACACAAAAAAGGTTGAGAATCTGTTTCAGATAACATATAATACTTTCAAATCATCTGCAATGCAACAAATGAATTAATTTACTTCTATATTTGTCAAGCACCTATTATGTATAAGGAACTGTGATAGGTATTGCAGGTTCTTGTCACCACTCTCCCATTTACTCATCTCCAATTTCCACTTACTTACACTCTGCAAAAGTCCTACTCTGATCCACCCATGTGACCCTGGATCCTTGAAGACTACACCTGTGGACTGCATACTCTGACAGATTCTACAAGGCGTCATGAATGATCTTTGTAGTAGACTTGGCCTGCCTTCCAAGGGCTAGCTTGGCTAATATGTATAGAATAATTATTAGCCCAGAAATTGCCTCTTTCAGCAAACATCTGATCTTCTCCTGTCAATCACAGAACATGGAAACCAATGGTAATGCTGGTTTCGAATATACACTCACTTGGAAAACAGAGTAGGATGATGAAAGATTATGAGCAATATTACTTCACAAAACAGTGAAAGTCGTTGGGGCAAGGTGTGTGTGTGTGTGTGTGTGTGTGTGTGTGTGTGTGTGTATTAGTTTGAAGAAATCTTGGTATGAGACCCAACTAGAAAAACCAGAAATAATAAGCACTTATAAATGAAACTAGAAGGAAGGCAACAAATAGATGGAAAATGAAACAGATTTGCTATTTTTTTCTCAATAGTGATTTGTTCTCATCATTGATGACTTTGGGAGTACCACATTTGGACAAAATACTTCAGTAGCTCATAACACTATGTGATGCAAAGAAAATGACACTTAAAAGGTAAAGTCAGGGGGCAGCTAGGTGGTGCAGTGGATAGAGTACTGGCCTTGGAATCAGGAGGACCTGAATTCAAATCTGACCTCAGACACATAACACTTACTACGTGATCCTGTGCAAGTCACTTAACCCCAATTGCCTCACAAAAAGAAGTAAGGAAAATCAGCCATTCAAGTTCACATGGAAGAAATTTTTACTGAAAGAGATATTTTTGAAAACACAAAAGTATAAAAAATCATGGATGGTATTATTACCAAAAAATGTAATTGAGAAGAAATCATCAGCTACGAAGCCATATTTTTTTCCTTTAAAATCTATGATAAGAAATTGTACATATATCGAGGGTATAGAAATGTTTAAAAAATATGAAAAGGGAGCAGTCAGCCTTTTGAAGGATGATTTTCTAACAATAGAGAACATTTCTGTAGTCATACGATTGATGAAGAGGTATAGGAAATAAGGAGCTTGTTATGTGTAATGTTTGTTGATTACAAAAAAGAAAGACAAAAGCTTTCACTAGATAGCCTTATGATTTTCTCTTAATAAGGCAGTCTTCCATGTACATGTCAAGATTTATATAAGACCCTTTGAAAGATGCAATCCATAGTGATAATTGTATTTAATGACCCTCTGATTATCAAGTGAGGTATAAGGTACAGCTGACTAAAGAAGTTCACCAGAGTCATGGAGGAGATTCTCCCCAGAATCTATGAGGGAAAGGGGTTTCTTTTCCATAAAATTTGAAGACTGGATTAAGTTATTTTAAGGTCCTTTCTAGCTCTAAATTTTGGTGAAGATCTCCAGAAATTTCTGCTTACAGCTGACATTATGATGATTATATAAAGCACTAGAAACTTCAGTGAGATCTCTAAGCATTTAAAAGTGACTAGATTGACAATCCATGCAGGAAAACCATAGAAAGCCCCTTGCCCAGAATACGACATGAATTTGGATGGGATTGCATTAGTCCATCAGAGTGTGTGTGTGTGTGTGTGTGTGTGTGTGTGTGTGTGTGTGTGCGTGTGCATGTGCGTGCAAGGAGGAAAAGAGACAGCAGGCTGGATTGTATTTAGGAAATGAATTGCAAGGGCAGGAGAATCCCCTTTTATTAACCTGAGTTGCTCCTTGACACAAATCTCTGTATTTATGACACTAATATTCTACCAATACTGCTATATGGCTATGATTCATGGAGTAAGACAGTCTCAGAAGAACTGAAATTGTGGGTGATGCCAAGGACAATGGAGAAATACAAGATGGTTGCAAGTAGGCATCATATTTCTAACAGGCATTTGCTTACCAAAAAAATGGCATAAAAGAGATCATGTGAGGATTGTATAAACAGAAAAAGAGGTAGGTTAGTCATATAGCAAGAGTGGGGATGACAGATGGGTACCAATGCAGGCCACACGCCACAGCAGAACCCAAGAGATAGATGTCACACAGCTTCTCTATGGAGGATTCATAGGAAGACGTGACAGGAATAGCCCAGAATTAGAAGGCAAATGGCATTGAGATGAGCACTTTTGGAGGGCATAGCCCTATTGATGAGCTCATGGACCCATTGAGGTACGGAAGCATATACTTAGTTTTGCCTTTAGTTCCTAAAACAGAACTATCCTAAATATACATAGGACAGGTTGTTTCACTTTCCTTTCATATATTAGTTTTATAGATTGATTTCTATAACATTCTCCAGATATAAGCCATCCCACAAAGTGGATTTCCAGATAAAATTGTAATTATTTTGTAATTACTTCCCCAGTTTCTCAAACTGAGTATGGTATATAAAATTTAACCTTTTCCTGATGGATTAGAGTCACTACCAGCCTACAGTGCTTTTTTGAGTTGTGTCTGCCTTTAAAATCTTTCTCTGTTCTTCCTCGTTGCTTTCACTAGGCTTATTACCCTTTCCTAATTCCTTCTAATCTAATAAAGGCTAGGGAACCAGAAAACCAAGACTATTCAAACTGTGTCTAAAATGAGAACAAATGGACTCTGACTGAGGACATAAATAATATGCAGGGG